ATTTGATGTAATGGATGCTGTGTTGATTTTAATTTTGTAATTTTAAATGTTTTAAATGTTTTTATTGTTTTATTTGCTGTGAGCCGCCCAGAGTCCCTAGGGAGTGGGCGGCATACAAATACCATTAAAGTTTAAAGTTTAAAGTGGAATTAATCAGACAAGATGGGATGGTACAGAGAATGGGGTGAAAGTAAGAAAGAACAAAATATAAAATATAACTTGCAACTGTGAAGTTTGCAGTCCAAAATCAGTTTCAAAATCGGATTTATAGAATGAAAATATTAGATATTTTGTTATTTTTTAATGTCTTAAGTATACTTAACTGACAGATAAAACTAGTCCATGACAAGATGATGTAACAATACTTTATTAAAAATGCTTGAAAAATACAAAAAATAGCACCAAATGGGTAAACAAAATTATTTTAATATATCCTCCTATATTCTTTTACGGAAAATAATGTAAACATTATGAGACAATCCAAACAACAATCTGTAACTGCATATCTGGTATAGGTTTATCCCAATTCCTTGAGCCAACAGTTCCACCCTAAGGATTAATACAGTTGCATATGGGAGCTGAAAAAAAGGAAGATTAGCTGAGAACAGAAAAAAATAGTAGGATTGGTACAGAAGAACAAAAAAGAGAATGAAGGCATAAAGATGACTGACAAAAAATATATATACTGCTGGATTCTGGTTTATAGATGCCATCAGGTGATTGTAAAGAGCAAGAGAAGAGAAGAATGAAAGAGATAACTCTTTGTTATGAAGGAGGTAGATATTGCTATTGAAGGAGTGTGTTAAAAATGTAAACAAGGAAAATACCATATTTTTCGCTCTGTAAGACACACTTTTTTTCCTCCCAAAAGTGGATGGAAATGTCTGTGTGTCTTTTTGAGCGAATATGGCTGACAGGCAGTGGCGAACAGCAGCAGCGATCCCCGCCGCCTGCAACAGCTGATCAGCAGTATTCCCGGAGGCCGATCCAACCGTCGAATAGCTGCTCTGAGGCAAAGATTCCAGCAGATGCAGAGGAAGCAGGCTGTTGGCTGTTTGCTGCAAGTATGCTAGCCAGATGAATACTGGATGGATGCTGGGAGCCACAGGCAGATTTTTTTTCTTGTTTTTGTCCTCTAAACCTAGGTGTATCTTATGGTCAGGAGCATCTTATGGCGCGAAAAATAAATTACGAAACAAACTTTAATTACAACACATTTAATGGATCTTTGTTTATGTGTATTCAAAATGAAAAGTCAGTACATTATCAATCAATCCATTTTATGTCACAGAAAAGTTATAATGGTGATGGCTTGACCATCACATTAAAGAACTCATCTAAAATTGATGATCATTGATCTCAAATACAGCTATAACATAGAGAAAGGATTAGTTATTAAAAACAAATATTTAGACTTCAGAATAATATAGTTCTGTGATGGCAAACCTATGGCACGTGTGCCCAAAGTGGCATTCAAAGCCATGTTGCCTGGCATGCACACCTTGTTTGTTTGTCTTCTGGGTTTCTGGCACACATGTACACATGATGATCAGCTGTCCTTCCCCTGCTGCAGCACCGAAAACCGGTGTGCGCATGCACGCCAGCCAGCTGATTGTCGGAAGTTCGACTTTTCCAGAGCACAGCCCTGACAAGCGCACGCACGATCTTTCTGCGTAACCTTTTTGGCACTCTTGCTGAAAAGGTTCACCATCACTGGTATAGTTCATAAATTCATAGTTGGGGCTTATATACTGCTTCATAGTGCTTTTCCAGCCCTCTCTAAGCAGNTCTGGTCACCTTATCCATGACAGTGCATTAGCATAGTTTGCAAAAGGTTGTGCTACGTAAATGTGGCAATCTTTAAAAAGCCACAACCTGCATTGTTGTTTTCACATAAGAAGAGGCAATCAAACTTGTGAATCCAGAAGACCCTTTGTGTAATTGTTTACATTTTTCCCTCTTTTCATGATGTTCACAAACTTTGCTAACCTGAAGTTGATATTTTTCTCTATCAAGATTTATCCTTCTTTTTGCTTTTATATTTATTTTATCCATCACTGGAATTCTGATGTTCTTTAGCAACTCAGATTCATTCATAAAGACTGAAAATAATTTTCTCGGTCAAGTTCTATGACACTTTGGCAGCATCTAATTAAGGGTATCATATTAGCTTTTTAATGACAACTGATGTGATTTTGCTATTTGTTTCCTTTTTACAGGGTTTATTTACACAGGAGAAGTTGTGCATCAGATGTTAACAGCAACACAATATATTGCACCCTTGATGGCCAATTTTGACCCCAGCGTTTCGAGAAATTCTACTGTAAGATACTTTGATAATGGTAAGCATGAATATTTTTGTCAGATTACTTTTAGTTTAGCTGCTGTTTGTTTCCCTTTGTAGGAAATTACACAATGGGTTGATCATAATATTTAGCTCTTTAAAATGTGGTACATTTAATTAGCTATTCCTCTGCATATAAGACTTTAATTTAGTTAAGATTTTGCTGGTAGAGTCTCTTGGCATGTATTATCCATTATTATAATCCATAAAAGCTATAAAAACTTTAGCTATTATATAAAATTTCCGTTAGCATTGTTAAAAAAGCAAATCTATGGTGTTTTCTTTTTAGTACCATCTTCATAATAAATATCCATTAATGAAGTAAAAACATTTTTTCTTTGTGTCACATAGACACATGCGGCATATTGTAAAAACACAGAGGTTAATAAAATTCATAAAGATAATTGAAGTGTCAGTACTGTATAATATTTGAATAACCCTGTCTTTATTTACTGGTCTCAAAGGTCAATATCTGACATAAAATTGTAAGATGCAGAAACAAAATCCAATTTTGTTGCTGGAACCATATAAAGAATATACATATTTGAGTTAATTAAGCCATCCACTCTGTTATAGATTTACAAAACATAAAACTGGGAAAGAATGTTGTAAATCATTCAGCCCAGCTCACTGTTCACTTATCAGAATCCACTACTGTAAGGTATTTTTGGCAGCTGCCATCCTGCCAAAATTTTCAGCAAAAAGGAATCTACCACCTTTCTAGATAGGATGCTCACCTTCTTTACACTTCTCCTCAAATTTGGATTTTTAATTCTAACCTATTGATCTTTGTTTTAAACAGGGAAAACATGTTCTTCTGACTAACATTTAGGTACTGTTAGATGGTTATCTAACTCATTTTAGTTTTCTCTTTTATAAGCTAACCATCTCAGCTCATTTCATAAGGCTCGGTTTTTACTTCCTACATCATCTTACTTGCTTTCCTCTGAACCCATTTCAGCTTTTCCACTCCTGTAAACTTCTGGTTAATCTGAGATATAGTTTTTTGTAAAATTTAAAGTTAGAGGAACAAGCATTGCAGTCACAGCATTCACATTCATTTGAATTATTGCTGATTTAACAGCTTGAGTTTTGAAAAAAATAATAGGTTTATCTATCTTTTAGCCTAGAAAGAACAAAATAATTTTGTTAGTCTTTGATCACTGAGATTTCCTGTGAATTACAATCATAACAATAAAACATTCACAATACACATACAGTATATAGCCGTGATGGCAAACCTATGGCACAGGTGCCACAGGTGGCACGCGGAGCCCTTTTTACTGACACGCAAGCAGTCGCCTAGCTCAGATCCACTGCGCATTCCTGCGTTTCCCGTCAGCCAGCTGATTTTTGAGTGTCTGGTGTCAGCAGGAGACATGTATGAATGTGTGGTGAGTAAGGGAAGGTCGCAAGTGCATGTGTGGGGGGAGGGAGGAGAGCGCACATTCAGGGGAGGTGAGGAGGTGTGGCATGGCTGTCCCATGCCCCATTTTTGATGCTTCCTCACTCTACCCCCGGGCATGCACGAGTGACTCTTGTATTGGTGCTAGCAGACCTCCCTGTGAAGCCTCCTGGCACCAAAGACGGGGATGGCTTTGGCTCTCTCCTAATGGGAGAAGATCAGACCTCAGTCTTGACTTCAAGTGGGGAGCTGCTCTGGATTTTCATTCCCCAAACAAGTTTGCCCCACTCAAAGGGGTGGGGGGAGGCCAAAAAGAGAGCGCCAAAGCCATATCCAAACTGAAATATTCCAGCACTATGAATCATATGTTCCCGTCAAAAAAGATTGGGAGTTCTCCCTCCCATTCCATTGCAGGAGAGGTGGCCATACTGGTGGGCTCTCTCAGCCACTGCCGTGTGAGGATAACTCTCTAAAAAGCCAGCTTGCCTCTTCTGACACATTGGATTTGCCATGTTGGACTTTCTTGCCCCCAACCACACTGTCACAATGTTTCTTTTCATTTAGCTGCCACTTGAACTCTTCAAAGTCCAACATGGCTAGGGGAATGAGCAGCGGAAGGGGCAGCTGGCCACCTAGGCAGCAAGTGCTGCCTTGCTCCCTTGAGCACCCGAGCTGGCCAGTCACTCTCGCCTTTCCCTCTGCTGCTGCAGCTTCCCTTCTGGAGCAGCAGAACTGCACAGGAGGAATGCCAGAGAGAGAAAAGGAAGCATTAGGAATCCTTGTGCGCACGGCCGCCAGCTTTCCTTTATCAATCCCCCCCTCTGCCCAATTTGGATTTAGTCTGAAGTGATTTGGGGGGGAGGGAAGCGAGGCCCCAGAATAGCAGCAGCAGCAGCAGCAGCAATATCTGCAGATGAAAGGGCTGCTCGGGCGCACGGGGAGGCAGGGAGGGAGGCAGACACAACCGACCGGCTCCTCCTCCTCCTGCCAGCCTCATTCTGGGCAGCGTCCAGCATGCCAAATTTAAGGGATTTCCAAGGGCTGAATTTGCAAACTAGGGTACATGGTTTGGTACTGTGCATGTGGTGACGACACGCTCGAGCTCGGCTCAAGCTGCTCTGAGATTGCAAACCACCGCGCCATTACTTGGGACGCTGCTTTCTTCACTGGCCCTGCAGGACAAGCCAGCTTGCAGTCCCTGAGAGGGACGGACTGCATTTCTGTAAGGACGGCATGCCAGCAGCAGGCTGGGTGGCTAGCTCCTCCACGATCTTGCCGGCTGGCATGGCTGGCTGGACGGATGGACGCTGCCTGAAGTGTGAGGCTGACAGGAGAAAGAGCTGCTGCCGCCTCTGCAAAAGCAGGCTATTTGTGCTGGCAAATGTTGGTCCAAAACATGGGGGGGAGGAAGCATGCGTGGTAGGTATGCGTATGCGCATGGGGAAAGATTAGTGACGGGTTCACGCATGCACAGTGGCCACACATTGTATTATTGATGCTGGCACACAAGAGTGTTGCGCACATACTTTTGGCACGGAACAGGAAAAAGGTTAGCCATCACTGGTATATAGTATATGTATATAAAATAGTTTATATACATATTCTATAGTTACATACCAGTGGTAGGGTTCAAATTTTTTTAGAAGCTATTCTGTAGGTGTGGCCTATTTTGTGAGAGTGACTTGATGGTCATGTGACTGAGTGGGAGTGGCTTGGCAGTCCTGTGACTCGGTACACAAAACAAGTACACAATAAGTATACAGAACAATAAAACAGCTACTTACAGAGGAAATATGGCTTGTCCTTGCCCCGGTCTTCAACATTACTGATCACCTTGCACACACTCTTCCANAAAAGGATAGAAGGCTGAGTCAGTGTTGAGCCTGGTGAAATTTGATCTGCCAAATTGCAGGAGCAGAAGTAACCTTCAGTACTGCACTTTAACCACTGCACCACCAAGGCTCATGTTTTTGAAGAATAAAAAAATGCTTTAGTAAATGGAGTATTAGTAGAAATAAAGGACAATATAATTTATATTTTAATTTAACTTAAAGCTTAACAGAGTTAACCTATATTTTATAACAATGCTGCCTTGAATTGCAGCAGAAAAATCCAGTTTCTATCAGCAATTACCTTCATTTATCATTTTCAGCAACTTTGATTTTTTTAAAATCAATCCAAAGTATGGTTCAAGACAAACTTAAAGACCAGAATACAATAGAATAACTATATAAAGATTTTAAAAAAAAAAGCAAGAAAATCCTAAACCAAAAAGCAGCCAGGAATTAATAGCATTAGGGAAGACCCACACAAAGTCCAACAGCTACAACTATTGATCGTAATTGTTCCCCAGGGACTGTAATTTTCTTTATAATTTTCTTTTTATTGGGAATTTTTCTTTTGTGAGGTTGTTTTGTTGTTTTAATATTCTTATGAAAAGGAAGAAATGTAAACCACTCAGAGTTCTTCTGTATTTAAGGGGCAAGTAATAAAAATAATAAAATAAATATATGTCCTTAACCTAAATAGGCTTTTTACAACACATAAGTAAGAGTCCCTGCTTTAAAAATTGGCAGCACTTACAGTAGGGCCTCTGTCTAGGAAAGTTCTCTGCTACTTCATGGAAATCAGTGTTTTCTTTGCATGGAAAGCAAATGGGGTTTTGTGGCAAATGTGATATAGCTGCATCTCATAAATTACCTTTTGTTAATTCTAGCCATAACTACATTGCAACCTGCCCTTTAGGTGGGGAAGTGGAAACAAGCTTACATGTACCCTGTAATTTCATAGCACTCACTTGGAGGAAACACAGAAACTTTCCCACTGTTTGTAATGTACCATCTGATTATATAAACCACAAATTGGCATTGAAAGGATGGAGGGGTCACTTGGTGGTTGGTGCCATAAAATACTGCTAGGACTTCTATATTCCTGTTCCTTGAATATTTTTTTAAATTAATCTGCATTTTCCCATTAATTTGAAGGCTTACTTGAAGAATTAAATATATACTTTTTCAAATGCTTTTACATAGCATATATTATTGAATATAGCAATATTGAATGTGGGTGGTGTCATGATTAAGGAATCAAGCTAGAACCGGAAGACCATGAGTTTTAGTTCTGCCTTGGGCACAAAGCCTTGGATTTTGGTCACCAATCACTTTCTTGCAACCCTGTGAAGGAGGAAATGCCAAACCACTTCTAAAAACCTTGCCTAGAAAACAGAAAATTGTCCAAGCAATCTCCAACAATTGGGCACGATAGAATTGAAGAAAATTAAATATTGAATGAATGTGTTATATGAATATTTAATATTTTTGTTTCTATAGAGTCTCTGGGAATTTGTGTGTATGCCTCTGAGTATCATTGAAGAGAAATTAACATGTCTGCCATATATGTGTGCCAAATTTAAGACCTAGAATTGCCTTCAAGTTGGCACATACAGGAGTCTGAACATATGCAGTACATAGTGATATTTCCAAGTTATAGTTATAAATTATTCTTAAACAAATTCTGTCATGCTTTCTTTCTCAATATTTGGCCACGTAGATGCCATTTCCTTAATAAATTAGTCTAGACTAAAGATCTGACAC